ATGGTCCTAAACGGAGCAGTAAAGTAGGTAACTTTCACAATCGTAATCATATCTAAATTGTTATCCCGTCCCAGCTTACCACCACGAAGGAGGATTTTGGACTTTTGATGGCTGTAAAAATCTTGACTGGAAAATGCAAGACTGATTCATTAAAGTTTTTGGATCTGTACTCTAGAACGAGAGGTGTGGTAAAACTCAGAGCCCCTAAAGCTAAAACAAATTGAGAGCAAAGTTTTTTGCCTCAAGAATTCTGCCTGATTTAAATAGATTATTGGCACAAGACGCTCTCCAAAATTCCTTGGCTGAACTCCTTACATGTGCAAGTCATCCTACTGCCTGATCATTGATTTTCTACAGTTGATTGTCGTTTTCAGGTACTTATTATGCTCGTTCGTTTTCCCGTTGTTGTTCTTCCCACTGTTTTTTTGTTTGTTTGTTCAATTTTTCTACCTCCATTCGTGGGTCTCTTGCCTTTCAGGTTATTCCTTGTTCTTTCATTTACTTACGTGTGTTATCGCGTATCAGTAAAGATACAGATAATGGAAGTCATAGTATTGGGATAAACAAGTACGGTGTGAACGGCGGTTTGCACTATTCTATGTGGCGGGACACAGCATGCGGTCGCGCGTTGCTGCACAGTCTTTATTGGTTAACATATTTGCAATTGGGGTTAGTTGTGTTTCACCATTCTTCTTTGTTCTGCAATCTCTTCTTCAGGGTGCCTGAGAATATGAGAGAGACAGATACGACACAAATAGAAAATAACGATACCCTCTCAACGGAACGTCCGGTGATAAACTATAACAGTCCCATATTTGGTACGCAGCCTTTGACAACAACTGGTGCACCAAAGATTGCTGTTTCGGAGGGGTGAGCTTTTTGACTTGCTAAATCGGGGTTAGATGTAACGAATTATAGATTTACGACTGGGAAAAACTTGAGTGCCTTGTTAGGGTGTTTTGACTGAAGGGTAGTCTCGGACAAAGGCGCGTGAATACGGGGTAGGCACACGCAAATGTAGCGCGGGTGTGTTCGTCTCTAGCATCGTATGCGCACTGCAACGGATGCTTTACATTCGCCCTGCAGCAAATAATCAAGGAGTAGCTTCAAAATATAAAACTGTTCTAATCTTGAATGTTTCGGACGATCTACAGGCGATGTCAATAGCCTACTCCGTTTTCTGCAGTC